CCCCCCACATTCCCCTCTCATTCCTGCCACCATCTACTGCAGCTGCCACCATGATAGCCACAACAGTGGACCATGCCAGCACATAATTTGTTAACATGGCTGCTTGCAATCTCTATTAGGGGCTCATGTTACAAGAAACAATGCAGGAGCATAAATAGGAGACAGTTGTCATCCCACTACAGGAAGTGCCTGTATGAGGACCCTCATGGCAGAATCGTCAAGAATTCATTTAAGAAGACGGAAAACAGGTTTAAAAGGCAGCTAGTTTAAAAAGAGTAAAAACAACTTTCGGAATTACATCAACATATTACAGCTTCTTTAAGATTTTAGTGATTGGGTATAGATCAGCTTTCATTTTCTGGGCGATGCTATTTTAATTCTGCATAAAATGACCACCTGTACTATAACGATTCCTTTATTGAAATAAATGAGTCCATTAACACAACTGCTGTAAACACCATTAAAAATGTCTTCAGTATAGCATTAATGATGTCCATACCCCATCTAGTGGTATAGAAGAGCAAAAGCAGAAATCAACAATAAAAAAAAAAAATAAAAAAAAAAAGAGGCAGTGGTTTTATGTTTATAGCAACCTTGTGGGCACTGTTAAAATATCATTTTTAAAACCTATTATTTACGTTCTAGGCCTAGCAGCACTTAAAAATGCCCCTCTGTTGACTTGAGTCTCCTCCAGTGCAGGATCCCATAACAGCAACTTCCTCTGTTACATTATTGACCATATTTTATACTTGCGCCCTCATTATTATAAGTGTGACAGTGGCCAGCCATTTGTACTATAAAAACCTTCTGATGTGATTGTGCAAGTGAATGTTTTAGAAATATTCACCATCATTTATGTTCTTCCGGTAAGTGGGAAAAGGAAAGAATATTGATAATAAAAGCATAATAATAAAATGTAGCAGTCAGACTATATACATAATGATAATTTGTATTAACTTCTTTTTAATTTTTACAGGGCTCATGGAGGCTGTCCTGATTCTGTTGTGCTCTGCTTTGGCACCAGTACTAGGTTAGTAAGACAACTTTTTATTTTCTCCATCAGTAAGATTATAATATTCTGACGTCTTTGTCAGCATAATATATTTAGGCAACAGGCCCCCAGGGACAGTGGCATTTGGTTCCCATTGAGGGGCAGTCTCTCCAAATGAAAGATATGCAGGTGTGATTTAATACAACACATAAAAATGAAAGAAAGGGCTCTTCTCGTCACCAAGTCCGTAACTTGAAACATGGGGAAACTTGTACATATATATCACCTGTCCCATGCACTAATGGGGTGAGACCTAATTGGTGACAAGACTGTCGTTCCGCCAGTTGTGGAGTGGCCCAGAGAGGAAGAATAGGGCCCCCCCAGATAGTGCCGATCCTTCCCCGCCGATCTGCCACCTGCAGCATGTATGGGCGGCTGTGCGGGACTGCAGAGGCTGTGTCACTGATCTGTCACTTGTCCAGCAGAATTTGCTGCAGGCACCGCCAGGCAGCACATTCTGCTGTGTGGGAGAGGACCCTCTCCACTTATTCCCAACCCCTGGCCCGCCACGACGAGGAAGGTGCTGCAGGAGTCAGGTGAGTTTGAGGTGGGTAAAGGCTGGGCCAGGAAGGAGCGGCGTGGGGGTTGTCACGGACAGGGGGTAAGATAGTGGTATTCAATTATCATTATAATGTGTTGCTGGGACTTGCAGTCCTGCGTAACTGGTGGTATAGCACCAACTATGTAGGGTTAGAAGTCACAGCAATACATTATATTAACTAGGGATGCACCAGTGCCAATACTGGGCATTTCCATGAGTACTTGTACTTGTGAAAAGGTCCTGATACTAAAGGCAGATATTGGCTTGCTAGGGACCTAGGCAGCCTTCCTGTTAACCACACAGTGCCTGTTTAGGTGCCTTCCCATGGCAGTGGGGGTTTGGAGGGCCTTTAAGGCTGCGTTCACACCTGACCGTTTTGTAGCGCGTCCTACGCTCGACGAACGCGCTACAAAACGGTCAAAAAAATAGCATTGTAGTCAATGCCCTCGTTCCCACCTAGGCGTATTTCCGCCCGTCCCTAACGCCCTACAAAACGGCCCACGCCTGAAAAGGTCCCGGGACTACTTTGGGCCGTTTTGTAGGGCGTTTTCCATTGGGATACAGCCAAGTAGCCTTTGGAATCGCGCGACGGTCGTGCGACTTTTTTACCGCGAATCGCGGTAAAAAAACCGCGCGACAGACGCGCATATTACAATACGCCTAGGTGTGAATGGGGCCTAATGGATTCTTGCACCTGGGCCCTGAAGTTTCTGGTTAGGCCTCTGACCAGAAGTCTTTGCAATGTATTTTTTCTACCAGTTCTGAGAAAAACAGAAGGACTATTGTTTTCCAGGTAGAATAATGAATATGGTTTACAAATACTATAAATGAGTTAATAATGAAGGCATAGATTCATTTATGGATTGATTCATTCATTTATGAATTGTCTTATTTATATCACTATATGGTAGGCATTTTGGGTGATCTCTTTTAGGCCATAAACATCAGTTTTTGCAGCACTTCCTTTCAATTACAATTAAGTATTACTATTATTTTTCACAGGTGCCAGTACCAGTGAAGAAAAAAGTGAACCAGATCCATTTCACTATGGTAAGATAACGTCTGTCAATACACCATATCTTACAAGTTATTAAGCAGAAAAAATAACATACTGTATGTATTCTTGCCCCTCATATATAATACAAAGCATAGTACTATGTCTACAGAGTTTCTGAGAAGTAGTGCAGTAACAATGAAAGAATATTATTCCATCAAATCTGAAAATCCTGAAACTCCAATACTTGCACATAAATTACAAAATATCTTTTACACTAAAGCATCCCCTAACACTTAACCTTCCCATACATCCTAATTAAAAAGATGTGTAAATCCTGAATAAAAAAGTGTGTGACTTGTATTAAAACATTAAAAAATAAAACAAGATCTAAACACACTAACCTTTAGGCACTTTCATGGAGTGCCAATTGTTTGCCAATTGTGCTCCTGTGTTGTCACCCCATTGCATGTGCCCCTAGCGAAAACTAATATTGTAAAGCCAATGTTAGAGAAAGTGCATGTAAATGGAAGGTGACTAAGGCTGCAGGAGATCAGCAGCACTGAGATGGAAAAAAGGTGAAAAAGTATGTAGCGCTCACCTTTAAAGGAGCCGCTGAATATTCCCCAGTCATCTCTAGCCTGTCTAGGGATTTTAGTAACCAGCTGCCCCACTAGCATTAACCACCCTCTTCCAGTGACCAACGGAGCTGAGATCCAGGCCAAAAGTTTGATGCTAAAGAACTTTTATAAGACAATCTGAGCTGTGATAGAGGGTTTAGGGCTTAAGACATCCATGGGAAAAATAGACAGACTCCAGACTCACAAGTCCCTTTCAGAGTTCCAGTGCAGATTCAATAGGAGCACACGGTGACACTGGGTATTTGAGCATCCGTTGAATAGGGATTTTCACAGAATCTTCACTAGGAGAGACACCAGACTTGCTCCACTCTATTCCACGCACCTCCAGCAGCCATCAGCTTCCCTGGTTCTCCTTCTCATTCAGTACCATAGGCCTCCTCCAGGCTTGAGGCCTAGCAGAACTTTCCTGCACTCAAGCATTCCCAGGCTTGGGTGCAGGCTGGACAGCACCCCAAACAGGACTAACTCATGGCTGGATCCAGACTGAGCACATGGCAATTCCTCTTAGTATATATGCCCTTATCCAGTATGCACCACTTGCATGGAACCACCAGTGATGGTCTGGCAAGTCACACACTCATATTGTCCTCCAATTGGTTGCCCCACACTGCAGCAGAGTCACACTCCACTCAGGCAGGTACAATCAATGCCAGAGCACCTGGAAATAACCAGATAAATGACAACTATAATTCAGCCAAGCTGACTACAGCTCTGGCAATCACTACATTTATAGTAGCCACTCCACTAAAGGTGGTAGGGGCGACAAGTATCTTTGCAAAAAAAAAGCCTATGGCAATTATTTATCATACACTATTCTTTAAAGGCTAAATGTTATCTATTTAGGGTTTACATCTACGTTGATCCATAACCAAATTTTAAAAATTAAAGTTTTATGTATAGCCAAAACCTTTGTATGGACAGTTGGATAGTAGGAAAGAATAAAACCCCAGCCAGTTATTTGTTTGCTGTCTCTTTTGGATATTTGCCTTCACTTCCTGTCCTGGAGACACAAGAGGAAGTGAAAGGAGATCCCTAGAAAGTGAGGGAAATTCTTATCTTTATTAGACAGGAGTCATCTCTTGTTCTGGTGGCTAATTCTAAGGTTATAGGTATTCCATCAGTTTCTGTACTAATGACAGAGGTCACCAGGACAAATAGAGAGGGTGAATGTTTCTAGTGAAAACAAAGACAGCAATAGAAACCTAACAGGAGTTCTAGACCTCCCGCACTCAAATGGCTTTACATACACTTTAATGCTAATCCTTACCTCTTAGTACAACCCTTAGAATGAGCATACAACTCTTAACCATCTACTAAAACTTAACCTCTGTAAACCTTTAAAGCGGAACTATGCTCAGCTCCGCTCTAGTGATGCGATGTTTGCACGCTCTCTCGCTGGCCCAGACATCTTCTCACCAGCTACATCTTGAGTGGCCAGGCTGGGATGGCGTAACTCCAGCATATGTGCACAGGAGTTAATGTATACGAGCACCGCAGAGACTGGAAGGAGAAAGGTAAGAATCCTTTATTGATATACTATGGGGGGGGATTTATCAAAACTGAACAGAAGAATCTGGAGCAGTTGCCTATGGCAACCAATCAGTTTATCTCTTCAGTTTGTTCAGTTAAGGCTTGAAAATGAAAGATGGATGCTGATTGGTTGCCATGGGCAACTGCTCCAGACTCTGTCTGCTCCAGTTTTGATAAATTCCCCTCTATGTCTCTTCTGCAATAAAAACAACTTTCATGCCAGAAAATGTTATATTTTTACCTAATGTTCTACTTTATACTCTCTAACTGTTGACCCTCAACTGTGGCATTATGTGCCATGGTAGGCCAGTCAATTGCCTCAGTTACAACCAGGACTTGTCTATGAATGGTTACACATTGCCCTATTGAAAGAAGTGGTTTACAGTTGTGTTCATGAGCAATAGGAGAACACTGATTACAGCTTTATACTAATTCATTGAAATACTATCTGCCCTTTGCAATGTCATTGACCATCTAAAATTATATCTCATAAATGATGGCCCCCACAGTAACTGATGAAACAACTTGGTGCCACTTAATTGAAATTCACCAGTGCCATACACCAGGTAATTTTTTTTGCAGTGGTTTGGTGTCAGACATAAACGCATCACATTTACACAAGATCAAAGTCCTGCTTCAAGTAAATGATTGTAGATGGTTCCCTAAGTGACTTGTTTTGTGATGTCAGATCTGACCTGGTCTGATTTAATCCATCTCATTTTTAATCTAATGCAATAATCATTAAGTATTCAGATTCTGTTACCTTTCTAGTCAGTTCTGCTTCTAGCTTTCTGACACGTGTGTTTCCCATGGCACATTGGTTTACCATCTGATGCAAATAATACATAGTTGTTTAGGCTGAAAAAAGACAAATGTCTAACAATTAAACCTTCTACAAACTACAGTATTATATTTGACTAATTTCTTTTCTTGGGAAAAATAACTTCCTGACCCCACAATGCAGTTGGATTAATACCCTGGAAAAATACCATGATTTTCTTAGTAGATACTTTGGATATCATTTGTATAAAGAAAATCTTTCAGTCCTTATTTTCTAATCCCTAATTGTCCATTCCTGTTTTCTGTGGTAGGGAAATTTACATTTGAATCCTTTAATATGTAAAATCTATCGATGTCATCATTGAATTTAACAGTGTCATTTTACATAGGTCAACTTGAGTAGAACTGAAAGCTAACTTAGTAATCATGTAATTGGAACCTTTCTAATTGGTTTCATATCTCTGTCAAACACAGCCGGATCTGAAAGCTAGCAGAGTACAGTGTCTGCTTCGAGCTGTGAAAAGTAGGACATAGATAACCATTCCATCATAGTTCAAGGAAAGCACAGTTCAAGGAAAGGTCCAAGATTCTTCAAATCTGCTTTATTTTTCTTAGACTACAATGGCAGAAACTCTACTTCATATTCAAGATACAATGTGATTTGTGCTGTCCTGTTACCAGTACATTACCAATAAGTATACATTCTCCCTAGACCTTTTATCCTCATTGTCTGTACCAGGCTGTGAAGTAAGCTGTAGGTATCCCACTGTCAGGGCTGGTGCAAGGATTTTTGCCAACTCAGGCGAAGGTGCATTTTGACGCCCCCCCCCCCCCCCCCCCC